GGGAGCGGACGGTAGCCCGGGAAACCCGCCGGCTGCGCCTGCGCACTGCGCTGCTGACGCTAACCAGGAAGGGAGCTGCCCGGAACTGCGCGCCGCTGGCGAGCTCTCGCGAGAACGCCTCCCCGTTAGGCCGGTGGCCCAAATTTGGCAAGAACGCCCCGTTGGCCCCGCCCTTCCTGCCCCTTGGGGACCCCTTGACCCTGACAGCCGGGGGTTGGCTCCAGGAGCCGAGGGCGTCTGCCAAAAGTGAGACCCAAACTCAAGGAAGTTCCTGTCCCGATGAACGTCTAGCGTTTAGAAACGACCCAGGCCCCTCGTCTGCCCCCACATGCCCTCTGCGCAGGCGTCCGTGCTGCGGGTTTCCCGCGCTTTTAACCCTGGGGGAAGGACAGGGACGGCGGTGGAGCTGTCGGGCTTCCGCGATTTTTACAAAGGCAGAACGCGATCACGATTTCACTTGGGGGAAAAGAGAAGCAAGCACACACGTGAGTCTGGGGAAACGAGTGAAATGTTGCCACAATGATTTAAAGGCAGTGCTTCTAGGTAAACACTCATCGCTTTCAACTTCTAATATTCCTGACACTCAGAGGGCTGAGAGGAGGATGGCATCCCAGGCCAGCCGGGACTTAGCTCAGTGGTTCCGCCGCCTGCTTTGCAAGCGCCAAGTTCTAAGTTCGACCCCAGCTACCTAAATAAAAAATAAATAAATAAGCGAATAAATAAATAAAATAGAGATGTAGCCCTACACTCCCTGGCTTCAGTCCCCAATCCCGCAAAGTAAATAAACTCATTTCTTTATGGAGAGTACATTCGAATTCCTGTCTCCTAACTACAGTATTCTGAGGTATATATTGTATTGTCATAGACAGCTAAGTTAAGTAGAAATGTTCTAGGTAGTCAGACATGGCTGGGCGAGTCAGTATAGAGGATGAGAACACATCACAGCGGTGGCTGAAGTTGCATCTGTTGAGGGCCAGGCCGACAATGCCTCCCCAGGCAGTATACTACAGTATACAGCTGGCATCATTTGGCCCAGTAAAGTCTAGATAGACATCAGGCACCTGATTAGTCACCTGGGTGACCAGGACCTCTGGATCCATTGCTTCCTAAGAAGGTCTTCCTTCTTTCCATGTGTCCTTGCTACATGACCTGCTTCCGCATTGGATCAATGTTATGTAAGTGGCTATACTTGTAATCTTATTGGCCAATCATTGTTTTGACCCATGTTGTACCACCTTGTGATTTTGCTCTATAAAACTTCCTCTGGAAAACAAACAAAACATAAAGCAAAAACTTCCTCTGAGAAGTGGAGTCTGCAGCAACTCACTGTGACTTCCTCTCCTGTCTCTCAGGAACTCTCTCAATAAATATTTCCTACTCTTATAATCCTTTTTTCCTTAGAATTCATTCTTCAATTTTTGGGGAACATGAACTTGAACTCGGCATATCTGACATCTAGCAGATGGGGAGTTATTTCCCCTATATTAGTATCATTGTTAATTCTGTTCACCCCAAACTATAGGACACCAAACTTTATTCTTACCAAATAGTAACTCTGTAATGGTTGATACCCCAGGGAACCCAGAGAGCTGCAGAAGAGAAAGGCAAGTAAGGGATGAGCTAGAATCAACAGTGCAGGGTGGGAGAGAAGCCAAGGGTGGGGTGAGCAAGGACCCTGGAGACGTGAGAGGGGTGGATGGTGGAATGGCTGCAGGGCCAGGGCTGCATGGAAAAGATGCTGAGGCCAGGCCTGGGTCCCTGAGGAATTGGCATTGCCTGCTGCTTGAAATGGGGTGGGGGGTGAAGAGGGTGCTGGGGCTGGATCTGAAAGACAGAGGTGGGGTGGGGATAGGCTGGAGGATGGTGATTTGAGAGTAGACGCCACTGTGTAAATCCTGTGTCCAGCCCCTGGCCTCTCTGGACAGGGCCTGCTGTCCAGCACATGATGGGGTCTGGACACACACTGCACCCTGGCTTTGTGACCTTGGAAACTAAATACTGTATGTTTGCTTTCTGTAAAATGAGGTCCTCTTTCCACTGGTATAGGTTGAGAAATGATGCCCAAGAGATGTTTGCTAAGCTTGGGTGATGGATATATGAGAGAGAGCTAATGAGTTCTGAAAACCAAAGTCTCGGAGTTGCAGTGTTGTTGAAGGACGCCTGGTCATTACTGTGACTGGGGTTGGGAGGATGGGGTCTCAAGACGCCTCAGGGCCACTAGAGGGAGCTTGTCGCCCCTTCAAATTGGAGCAGGAGCTTGGTCCTTGGACCTCAAACCACTCCCCCAGGGAAAACTCCTCCTCTATCCTGGCGTTTGCTCTCCCACTCTGCAGGAGCCCAGGCTTCCCTAGAGAGACTGTTGCCATTTTCCTTGGGGACATAAGGCAACATGTGACCAAACTGGAGAGCCTTCCTCAGCTCCATCCAGGAGATGGGAAAGGAAAATGGATGAATGAGGTCAGACTCCAGGGAAACACAAGTTTTAGAAGCTGCTGGAGTTCCTAAATCTGTCAGGGCCCAGGGCTTACTGAGCAGGGATGAAGGGAGGCTCAAAAGTAAATCTATGCGCACTCAGGCATATGTGCAGTGAAGTCGTCTCACACACACACACACAGGTATACACATGCACAGGCATGCACACCCCGCCAGAGAGGAAGGCAATCTGACGAAGCCAACCCATCGCATTCAGGGAACGACAAACCTGCCCCTGAGAAAGAAGGGGGAAGCCACTCGGCCTGGGAATGCCTCACCGGCCTTTCCTTGTAAATAAGCATTTGAATGTGTTTTGTTCCAAGCGCTCCCGGCAGGCTCCAGGGAGCCCTTTCTCATGCAGTGGGGTCCCTCTGCAGCCCCTCCCCTCCCCACCTCCCCAGCCTGCCGTCCTGCCGCAGGTGAAAGCTGCTTCCCTTCCAGGGTCCCAGTGGGTTCCCCTCTGGTTTTAGGCAGCCCTGAGAACCACCCATACTTCCAAGTTGAAAGCCAGCATGAGATGAATTAAGCTTCCAGGTCTTAAACGGTGTTGCTGTTTGAGCAAGAAAGAATGAGGGGTTGGGGGTTAGGGGCATTGAGGGGATGAGACATTCTTGCATCTCACCGCTGGATAACCAAGCCCCTCAACCCATCCCACAGCTTCCCAGGGTGAAAGTTTGCTGCTGTTCTTACATGTTATCTAAGCCTAACCATGCAGGAAAAACATCCCGGATACTTGCCTCTCCTGCCTCCTCACCGATGGGTGCTAGGTTAGTCCTTTTTTGTTGTTTTAAAACAAGGTCTCTCGCTCAGGCTGGCTTTGATTTCACTGTGTAACCCAGGCTGGCCTCAAACTCACGGCGATCCTCCTGTCTCAGCCTCCCGAGTGCTGGAATTATAGGCATGTGCCAGCACAACCAGGGGGCCAGTCATTTTTAGAGGGCCTCTGGGCAGCAACTAGTCACTCACAAGCCTTTGCCCTGTCCTTGTGTCCATGAGGCAGCCAGGAGGGCAGCAGGGTGACCCTGCCAGCTTGGACCCTGATCTCCCTAGGAGACAACCCCCGTGTTTCAAAAGTTTGCTTTGCCTTCCTCTGGACATTCCAGGTTGGAGAACTGAAAGCCCCCTCTCTGCAGTCTAGAAGCAGGTAAATAGCGGGTGATTTACAAGCACACCAGCCCAAAGGGCCTAAATCGTGTGCACAAAGGGGCCGGGTAAATATTTAAAGAATAGAGCCAGTTGGGGAGAAACACAAAAGGCTGGGACAATGGAGGTTTCTCGGAATTCACTCTCCGGAGCTGGGCCAGCCTGATCAGCATTGATGTACTCTCCGCAGTCCCAGCCTTTGTCCCCTGAAGGGTCTTCGGCTGCCTGGCTATTGGGACTCTCAACACAGCTAAAGAGACTTAAACAATCGCAGTGTCTCCAGCCCCATCTGGAGACAATTGGCCAGTCATCTCAGGGCTTTTGCTGTGTCCTCACAGTTAACTGCACGGAGCAATCACTTCAGTCCACTTTGAATCGTGTTCGGGTGGAGGGGAAGAATGCATTTCTCCTTCAGTTCTTGGCATTTCCTATATCTTGCACAGGGCTCAGCAGTCAGCACTGTTTTTGTCTTTTTGTTTGTTTTGAGACAGGGTCTCACTGCATAGTCCAGGTTGGCCTGGAACTCAGGTAGCCCAGGCTGGCCTCCAACTGCCAGCAATCCTGCCTCCAAGTGATGCAATTACAAAAATGTACCACCACACCTGGCACTTAATATTGGTTTAAATGCCCACTGTGCAGGAAGGGACTCCCACAGGGTTGTCCCTTGGAGTGGGAAGTGGGACATCTGGCAGGCTCTTGTCCAGGGGCCTGCAGACCCCTTTCCACCTCATTTTCAGACCTGACTCAACTTTTTTTTCTTTTGCCAAAGTCAAGAAAGCCAAATAGGAGAGGGTGTAAAGACCCAGGCTACATTTTGCTTAAATTCCCAGGCTTAAAAAAGAAGGAGCCTGAGAACTCTCAGGAATAGGAAATATCTCCTTGAATGGGGTGGGGGCTGCATTTTCCCAGCACTCCTCCTGGACCTGTGCTCCTTTCCGGGCACCTCGGGGACCCCAGGCGCTAAAGATGGAAAGAGTTAGTGGCCTACATCCCGGTTTGCATAAGCCCGGTTGCTAAGTCGGTCCACGACCTTCCCAGCAGCCCGAGAGCACCTTGTCCTTGCTGTGGGAGAGGAGAGGGCTGCCCGCCACCTCACCCGCCCGGAAAGAAATCGCATCTCCTGGCTCTGCCCCTTGAAGCCTGGTCTGCGGGTAGGATGCCCAGCGTGGGAAGGGGAACCGAGTGGGAGGGAAACAGAATTCATCCGGGGGCCCTGGGAAGGAGGTGGGTAGACTTCTCTTTTTTCCTCGGATCTTGAAGGATACAAAGATCTGGCTTTAACGCAGAAGGGGACGCTGGTGCGGGAGAAAGGAGTTCAAACTGGGCGTCAGTGGAAAAGGAGGGAAGGAAGGGAGTCTCAGAGTTTCACAGTTCGAGGACACCACAGTCCGCTTCAGCCCAGATCTGGGGCCGCACTCAGCCCGAGAGGCGCTGCAGGGGCGGGGGCGGCTGAGGCCCAGGCCCTTAAGCGGACCCGGAGGAGCATGACAATGAGTCCAGCCTCCCGCGGCCAAAGCAGAACATTGCTAATTAGCGCATTTTGCGGTCAATTTTCCACTACCTAAGAAACACAGGTCGCACTTGCGCGGCTCCACCTAGAGCGGCTGGGGTTGCTGGTCAGGGCTCGGAGGGGTGTTGGCCGCAGAGCTGCGAGGGCCCGGGTGTGGACTGGACGGGCGCCCCTCTTCAGGCGTCCCTAACTCTGGAGGGGTACTCAACGGTTTGCTAATGCGCCCGACTGAAAGGCGCCCGACTGAAAGGCTCCGGCGGGGATCCACGGAGGACGTAATTAGAAGACAAATTGCCCCGCTGCCCTGCCTGGCGGCGGGAGGACTGGGCG